ATGAAGGTAGGGCTAGGAATGGGGAAAAAATAAGAACCAAGATGCATTATGTAAAGGTACAATTCCCAATGAGAAATGTAACTGTGTTGTATACCTACAATGTACCAATAAAAGAATTTAAAAAAAAAAAAAAAGCTACAGGAGAATTCACAAGTCCCCTGTTTACATTCACCAATCCCGTACATCAAAGAGCACACTGCAGCCCTCTTCTTATCAGATAGTATCAAGAGACCAGGATGATTTCAGCCAAAATCAAGCCCACCGGCCTACCATAAACATCACAGATGTGCATAATGAGTGGTATCTCTCTTACCACCGGTAGAGTCATTGGGTCCCAGTCCTCTGATCCCGGAAAATGCTAAATAAGAAAACTAGGAAAACCTGTTTTTCTCCTGTGAGACTTTTACAAGGTCTCAAAGTTTTCTGGCATTCTTTTAACAAACAGGCTTGTGGAATTTCCCAGAAACGACTTAATTCTCTTAGTTAACAAACTTCTTGTGATCTATTCTTACACCTAGATCGCTCAATTCCACCATTTCCCACATTTCTTGACTATTTCAACTATATGTAAAAAAAAAATTACAGTAGACATACGTTTATGCAAATTAAGGCATGTTAATTACATCTGTTTTTGATTTTTTTGTTGTCGTTTTTTGGTACTGGGGATCGAACTCTAGGCGGGCCACAGAACCACTGAGCTAAATCTCTGGCCTACAATCTGTTTTTGAAAGTTAGTTTCTTATAAAATCTTCATTTAGAAAACACTGTGCTCAGGCTTAACATTTTAACAGTCACATTGGTTTGTTAGGTTTAGCTGTCTTTTCTTTAGTCACCTTAAAGATTAAACATAAAGCAATGAAGAATGTAGATCTATTTAAGATATATAAATACTTATAATAATGATAATTTGAATCATTTGGCCTTCAAAAAAATTGCTTGAAAAAGCCAATCACCTTCACTGGCGGTAAGTATGATCATGTTCAAGGCTGGAATATTTTACTCTGACTTTGGTTGCAGATTGTACTTCTGTGGCTGGAAAAAATTTTCTTCAATAGCATTGACTAGTTCGTCCAGTTCCTTCTTCAGCTGCTCAGGATCACTGAAAAATAAAGGGGAAAAAATCCAGAGGAATGGATTATTCTAGAGCACAGTTTAAATGCTTTCCCAATTAACCAAGTGACACTGAAATTTAACCTCGAGAAGAGGACAAAATCAGAAAAAAATAGAACTCCAATGACTTATCCATGGGAATGCATTTGTTGACTTAGGCAAAATAAAACAAAAAAAAAACAAACAAAAAACCCCCATGAGCAAAAAGTATTACTTTCCCTAAAGGTTTTCCCAACTTCCCATTATAAACAAAATTATCCCTGTTCTTCTCATAAGGGTTTGTTTTTTTTTCTCAGAATGATTTTTAAGGAAACACAATTTCTGGCCTTGCATCCCCAAAAGAGCTACAATGCTTCCACCTAATAACAGAAAAAGCTTTCTTGATTCTAAATGCCTTTAAAACCTGCTGAGCTTTCACCATCAATGTCTGTGTGAAGTCCTGAGTCTGCCAAGTTATGACTGTTTTTGCTGAGGTTTGTCCTCAAGCTGTCAAAAGCTGAGCTACCTGTCTAGAATGCACATAGCTGGGAAGCTCCTCACAGGTCTGGGCGGTCAAACACCAGCATTTTACCTTTATTGATCAACCTCCAGAACAAAACTGCCACAACTATGTAAAGCATAAAGGTAAATCTAGGGAAATTCATCCCTCTAAGAAAAACAAGTTTTTAAGGATATAGGAAACATTCATTTATATGCAAAAATTAGAAAGTAAATAATAGATAAAATTGACTTGCAGCTGACCAGGTTACTAGTGTGAGTTACTATAAATACCTAAAGCTTAACATTAGAAAAACTAAATCCATCATACTTTCCATTACTTCATGCACAGCCATCTGCAAAGTTTATATGCAGAGTTTATTTGAATGGGAATGACAAGCCTTGTAATTAGTTAAGATCATTTTCACACTGCAATAGCAGAGTACAATCAGAGCAACCAATTTTGTTACAGATATTAATTCTGGGTCTGTTACACACTATCTCTGTGCCCTTGGGCAAGTGGCCTAGCCTCCTTGATTCCTCATCTGTAAAATTGGGATAGACTTTCCCCTCTCAAAAGAGTTGCTGTACCCAAGGGAGTTACTGAGATATATATATATAGAACTTAGCACAGAACCTGGCACAAAGACTTCAATAAATCTGATTAGTTATTGTAATTATTTTTTGTATTTATTGTACTGTATTTATTATAATTATAATTATTTTTATCCCTATTGGCAACATACCAGTGGACCCTCGAGTTATGACCAGCCTGACATATAAATAATTTAGGTTATGATCAGTAGTTTAGGTTTTTTTTTTGGTACCGGGGATCAAACTTGGGACCTTGCACTTGTGAGGCAGTCACTGGAACCACTGAGCTAAATCCCCAGGCCCAGTAGTTTAGTTTTAATGAACAAAGTCTTGAGTTATGACCCAAATGCCGGCTGCTTGTGTTTCCAGATGGTCTCAGATACAGATTTAACCCTTAAAGAGTTCTGGAAGGAACATTACAACGTTCTTTCCTGTGTGGGGTTAACTGAGAAATCCTGGGCCAGTGTCTCTGTAAGGACACTGAGATCTGCCTGTATACAGAAGACAGGCTTTGAAGGCTGTGTAGAGGAGCCTGAGCTTCAACTGACCAACTTGAGTTACAACCAGCCCTTGGGAATGAATTGAGTTTGTAAATCAAGGGTCCACTGTATACAGAAATTATGCTTATAAAAACTTATTGATTATACTAGTCTCTTTTCCTTTTCTATACTTGTGCTTTGAAGTAAATAACAGTTCTCCATAATTATTTTTAAAAAACCTTCAAACTAAAAATTCAGAGAATTTATTATCAACTTTATTTATTAATCAAGTTTGGCTTTTAACTATGGCACATATGCATATTGATTCCTTTTTATATATTGGTCGATTTAACGTTTTTGACACTGTGCTTCTTATGTGCAGAAAGAAAATCAGTACTACTGTATGTGGTTTAGTGATGCGATCATTCCTAAAATGAAAGTTTTGTCTTACTCTTCCCCATTTTAATCACTAAAATGTTCCTTTTTTTTTGTACTGGGGATTGAGCTCGGGACCTTGCACTTGCGCGGCAGGCGCCAGAACCACTGAGCTAAATCCCCAGCCCTAAAATGTTCCATTTTTAAATTAAATTGTGAGAATATTTTTTAACATCTTAAAAAACAATAGGACACACTCACCAGTTTAGAAATTCTTGTTTTGGAGGTCTAAATCTAGGTGGATTATTTTATGAAAACATATAGCAAAGTATTATACGTAATTAGATGCTTTTTTTCCCTATTCATCATGAAAAACCATATAAGCTACATAAGAACTAAATACAATGCAGGACCCTCAGTTTGATTCTAGATTGGAAGAAAAGAGCTATTTGGGGGATTTTCAGGCAATCTGGAATTTCCATCAATTTCCCCAGTTTCTCAAATTCTAATCTTGGTATGGTTGGGAAGTATTCTGTAATCTGATTAATCTTTATAATTAGTTGACTTTAAATGAAGGAGATTTTTTAGACGATCTGGATGGGTCAGGTTCTGAATGGCATTAATAGCAGAACTGAGGTTGTCCTGAATAATTTCACCTGTGCCCTGCAACTGCATTCCTGGCCTGAGAACTCCAGCCTGCTTTCCGGACAGCCTGACTTATGGACCTCAGACTTGCAGCCAGCCAGCACCACAATCACAGCCAATCCCGTGAATAAACCTCTTAGTATATACAATCCACTGGCTGTTTCTCTGTTGGAACCCTGCCTTGATACAGCTATTGTTTAATAGGACTGGGGTAACAAGGGAGTGTCCTTGATCCTAGCTGACGCATAGCAGTATTTAGTAGTGAGGTATTATGGAGACTGCACTTACTTTCAAGTAAGTTAGGGGAAAAATACATATTTTTTGAGAGCAAATACTGCAAAATGTTAGCCATGACTGAGTATAAGTTGGGGCCAGCAAATAATGCCTCATGATCTGTTTTTACAAATAAAATTTTATTGGGATACAACTACATCCATTCCTTTATGTATATGACTGCTTTTGCACTACAACTGCAGAGCTGTGTATTTTCAGCAGAAACCACATGGCCTGCAAACCCTACGATATTTACTCCCTGGCTCCTTACAGAAAAAATATTGTCAACCCATGGGGTGAAGGGTAGGTGGGTTCATTGCATTACTATTTTAATATTTCAACAAGTTTGAAATTTTCTAAAATAAAAGGCTGGACAAAACTAAAGATATCTCCTCCAACAAAAATACTTTCAAACAGCAGGACTTATATTTGCAAAAGATTTTCTGTTCTAAATGAATGGTAGGTTGTGGAATTCTAGTTATAAATTAAATCCACAATATAAAATATATTAATAACCTTTAAGTTTATCATAGTCATGGCTTTAACACTGTTGGACGGTAGGTATGTGATATCCTAAGCCAGGACATTGTACGCATCAGCCAACCTTGAACCTAATACTCTACTTAATAGATGGAAGCAACATTTCAATAAATGCAATACAAGGACAATTTTTCAAAGTTTTTTTCAGCAATATATAGACAAACATTTGAATCGAATATTCACTCAATAAGCTGTGTGAAAAATTTAAATGGCATAGAGCTTTAAACTCAGTGTTATTATTATAAAGAAAAGTTTTATGAAATATTAGATACATTTCATGGCATATTAGAAAGAAAAGACAAAGATACAGAGAAAATATACTTAAGTTGGACTGATGTACATTTGTTTTTCAAAGAATGATATACAGAAATATAAAAATACTAAGTGAGAATGCCTATGGAAAGCCACACTCAACATGTAACGAATAGCTGATCATTTAACCATATGGAAACTTTGGTACTTCACAGTACTACAATAAACTATTGGTAATACATAATTCTTAGAAAATGAGCTGTTTATGTGTTTATTTACTGGTTGAGCTTTTGCCCAAAAAATTTAAATTTAAAAACTGACACTTGATTCAGTGTTTGGAATAATTTGGACATCAAACTCTGTATTTTTCTACTGTAAACTTTATGAAATGTAAATACTGATCATGCATAGTCAATAAAAATTAGTATTCAAATTGAGATATGCTGTCAGCATATATGTAGAAAGGATTCTGAGGATTAGAAATCTTTTTTTTGTAAAATATCTCATTAATAATTTTTTATAATTTTGAAACACGTCATGGTACTATTTTGGATACACTATATTAAGTTAAATAAATACTGAAATTAATTTCACCTGTTTGTTTTCCCTTTTTAAAAATGAGTTTAGTAGAAAATTTTAAGTCGCATATATGGCTTTTGATTTCTATTGGACACCTTTTGAAGACATGATCCTGATTCTCAGCATATCTTAAGGGAGTGCCAGTTAGCTCAGTGTCCAACAGGTATGCAGTATCACATTTAAATGAGATAGAGACAGGCACTGTGGGTGTGAAAGTTCAAAACGTTATGACGGTAGAAGGTGACCAACTCAAACTTTTTGCCAAGGGCACAAAAACAGGACCCTGAAGCTACCAGCCCATCTGCTCTTTTTGGTGGCAAAGATTCTTCCTGATGTAGCTCTTTGTCCTCCCTGGGACCTGGCTCAGACCTGTGTAGATATCAAGGGTGTTTATATGCCAGGCATTTTAACTTATTTTATCAGCGACATGGGAAAGCTCCAGGTGGAAAGGAGAAAAATTCACTGGTACAAGTTACCAAACAAAATACTCAGAGAAAAAGGGAAGTTTTTTAATTATTACTGGAATGAGGACTATACTTTTCCCATACAAAGACAGGTAGAAGTAAGAAAGAATTAAGTACTCTCCCCTAGATGCTCATGCAACTGTTAATTTTACAACACTGACACAGTTTCCAATTGAACTATACACTAGAAAGATGAAAACTTGCACTCAGCACTTGAACACAGCGAAGTAGGAAGTCTGGGGAATGAAAGTCACACCAGCTGCTGTCCCATCTCACCTGTTTCCAGGAGGGGCACACAGCTCTGCGTAGTACTTGATTTTGGGCTCTGTCCCGCTGGTCCGCATGGTGGCCACGCCTCCGTTAGCAAAGGTAAAGGTAATCATTTGGCTGCTCTTACTAGTAGGAAGCACCTAGGAATTAATTTACACATGTCATATCTTTAAATGGTAACATAAACTGTTCTGGCCTAATATTCCTCCAGGATAAGGAAATAAAAAATGTCAGACAAATATAATGGTAAGACAATAACAATTTTTTTTTTTTTGGTACCAGGGATCTAACTTGGTACCAGGGATCTAACTCGGAACCTTGTGCTTTCAAGGCAGGCAGCGGAACCACTGAGCTAAATCCCTGGCCCAAGACAATGGAGATCAGAAAATGTACTCCATATGAATGAAATACTAAATGGTGATACTAATTTATGAACATCAAGTAACTCCATAAACGGGCTTTTTTTAAATCTCCCTAGATATTAAAGCTACTAAAGTTATAGTCAAATTAAACACATCATTCCACAAGAAACCGGTTTCAACAAATAATGCACTACACACACACACACAAAATTTTTTTGTTTATTTCTTTCAGACAGGGTCTCACTATGTAGATCAGGCTGGCCTTGAATTTACCAGCAATTTTCCTGCCTCAGCGTCCAGGATGCTGTGGATTGCAGGCAAGTGCCAACATATCCAGCTCAAAATTTTTTTTTGATCATATCTCATTGTTGCACAATGAAATTTAGCTCCAAAAAGTCCATAAGGAGTTTGTTTTTTAAATATAAAACTTCTGGTAAGTGTAGATATATTTATAGTTGATAGTTTCCAATTTCCACCAAAAAAACCTCCACTCCACTAAAATTATGGGTTGAAATATTTTCACAAGAATAAACACAAGGGCAAAGAGGAAAAGAGGATGTATCAGTTAATAGGGTTTCTGGGCAAACATGGAAGTCAGAACAGACGGAGCTGCAGAACTGGTGAGATGTGACTCGTGACAATAGATCTAAGGGCCTGAGCAGGAGCCAGAGACCGGAAACCGCTGGAGTCCCATGCTGCAGAATCCGGCCATGGTAAGGAACGGAAGGCAGCAGATACACAAAGGGCTGTGTGCGGCAGGGGTAACACACAGGCTCTGTTGGAAAGATCCGGACCGCAGCCTACAGAGTCAGGGAACCAGCTCGGCTCCATCTCTACCGAGCTGCTTAATTCTCCAAAGACTGAGCCAGAGGCACCGCGGAGGGCGGAGCAGGGAGAACAGTGGGACGGCCCCACCCTGTCCCCACACATTTCCAGGGCGGTGGCACCCCAGCTTCTAGACCTCAGCTAGGTTCAGGATTTTCTGGAGCAATCTAACAGCCCCAAATGAGGGTCCCCTGTAAGACACTAACTTGTTACCCAATATCCCTGGAGTGAAGTAGGTTACTTGACTCACACATATACAGAGACCAGCCAATCAAAGTCTGCAAAGGAAGCTGGGCATGGTGCCTCACGCCTGCAATCCTCGCACTTTAGAAGGCTAAGGCAGGAGGATTTGAAGTTCAAGCCCATTTTGGGCAACTTAGCAAGTCTCTATCCCATAATTTTAAAAATTTTAAAAGGGTTGGGGATGTAGGTCTTGAGGATGTAGGTTGGTGCGAAGGTCTTCAGTTCAATCCTCAGTACTGCCAAACAACAATAACAAACCAAAATCGAAGTATCTAAAGGATAATTAGGGATGGCCAGCCTCCTGGGAAAACACTGGATAAATGGCAAAATCCAAAACTAAGAGAGAAAAAGATTTCTCTATTTTTTTCAGACAGGACTGAACTGTGTTGCCCAAACTGGCTTTGAACTGGTGATCCTTTCGCCTCAGCCTCCTGTGTGCTAGGATTACAGTCATAAGATTTATATTTAAAGGTACAACTAATATCTTAGAGAGATAGGGCACTATTTTGAATGACTTCATAAAAGCTGCAACAGTCAACAGAAACACTGAAAATTAGTTGAAGAGATCTCCTCAAAAGTAGAAGACAGAGATGGACAACAGGAAAGAAAAACATAAAATAACAAAAGTACAGCGTCAGTCTTGGAAAGCCGGCCTCTACCTAGGGGATCTTCAAAAAAGGAAAGTTATTTAAAAACTCAACCAGCCCCCTTCCTTGACGTATAATCAAGAAAACTCAGAATTAAATGACTCATAGGCCAAACAAGGCCCACAAAGTACCCAGAAAAGTGAATAAAAAGAGACATAGACCATTGCACATCACTGTGAAATCTTAGAACATGAAGTTAAAATTCCTAAAACCTTCCCAGACAGAAAAAAACAGTTGCAAGGAAGTGACTAAGTGTGACATTCACGTCCCTGTACACACATACAGCAGGCTCAACTGTTTGCTGAAGGAAAGAACAAGTGGATATTCCATGAACTACTTGAGACTGAACAATAATGGAGCCATGCTTTCAAAACTGAGTCAATAAAGTGAGAGGGCAGAATGAGACAACTTCAGACTTAAATGGCTCTAAAAATTTACCTCTCATTCACTTTTTCTCAGGAAGCAATTAGAGAATGTGATGTAGGAAAATAAATACAGAAAGAGGAAGCCATGAGGTCAGGAGCAAGGGTCACAACTCTCACAAAGGGCATTTCTAGGATGACAGCTATGTATCCAAGCCAGAGAACAGTTGGCAAATGGAATTGCAGAAGAGCTGGATCCAGGACCATGTGGATACTCTACTGAGAGGTACTTGAAAGATTTGGGAAGAACTGGTGATAGCTACATTTTTAATCAAATTAGGGATGTCTAGTTGAAAATATACCACTTAGCCATGCAGGCTACAATAATTAGTCACAACAAAAGCTCAGATTGTGTGAGGGCAGAGACAGGGAGTATTGAATATAGGAAGTATAAGAATGAAATACTTATAGTTTATTAATTAATTAATTTTCCATGATAGAAAATTAATCATCTTTAAACCTTGATAAGCAAAAAAAAAAAAAATCACCATATGAGCACATTATTGAGAAGTTTTGTCGTGAACACGTGTAGAAACAATTGTGAGGGTGTGGTTGTCTCAGAATGGCAACAGATACGTCATAACTTCCCTTTTTTTTCCCTGTACTGGAAATCGAACTCAGGACTTTGCGCTTGTCAGGCAGGCGAGGCACCACTGAGCTAAATCCCCGGCCCTGTCATAACCCTTTTAATACTATTTATTTCTCAAAAATATATTGCGAGAAGATGAAAATAAAAATACAACATAGTAAATATAAAAGAAGATCTAACATTTCATAAAGGCAGTACTACTCTCCTCCTCACCCCTTGCTATAGTTAGCAATAATTTTTCTGCCACCTTTGGCCCAAGTAGAGGATCCACACCATGTATAGAATGCAAACTCATGGTTTACAGCTAGCAGCTAACATTGAGAGAATAATGTCATGAACTACAGAGTAAGCAGTGGTTCTCAAAGGGTAGACCAGTTTCAGCATCCGGGCACCTGGAAACTTGTTAGAAAGTAAATTCTTGGTCCCCACCGCACACCTACTCAGTCAGAAACTCCAGGGTGGGCTGTAGCACTCTGAGTGTTGACCAGCCCTCTCCGTGACTCTGATGCAGCTGACAAGAGAAAGGGATAGAAAGGGAAAGCCGGATCCAGAGTTACAAGACCCAAATTCTCTGGGACCATTGTCATGGTTTATATCTAGGTGGCCCCTTAAAGCCTCATGAACTCATAGGTGGGGCTTTGGGGAGGTGAATGGATAACAAGAGTGTGAGTTTGTAGTTAAATGTGATGTTGAGAGGTGAGCCCTGGTTGGTGGAGGTGGGTCACTGGGGGCGTGGCCTGAAGGTTGCACCTCCCTCACTCCTCCCTTGATCTCTTTTTGCTTCCTGCCTGCCACATGGTGAGGCCTTTCTCCCTGCCAGGCCCCTCTGCTATGTTGCCTGCCTTGGAGCCAGCTGAATATGGACTGAAACCTCTACAAACTGAGAGCCAAAATAAATCTGTCCTCTTTTAATTTGCAGGTGTTGGGTATTGTGCCTGAGCAATGAGAAAATACTAAGACAACCACCACCAAATGGGTATGTGGTCACAGACAGGTTCTGCATTTCTGTGTTAACTTCCTTATGTGTTAAGGGATCGCATGGGCTAAGATGACTAATAAGGCTCCGTTTAGTTCTAGCCTATGATACTTAATTTCCCATTTATTTTATAGCTTATTTATCATCATGCTTAAATACCTAAAATCAGCTTCAACTAATTATATGATTGAATAAGTGAATCCACTCAAATTATAAAAAACTTAAATAGAAAAGAGTTCAGCTTTCAGAAACAAGGATTACTTACAGCTTTTTTATCAGCCTGGCTATCATCATAGCCAGTTGTAAGGTCCCGGATGGCAGAAATTTCAAATTTGCCACAAGCTTTTGGATAATTATTCTTCCCATCATAGTTTCTCAGGTTTTCAAATAATTTTTTAATGGTGTCTTGATCATGGCAGATAAAATATGAAGCTTTGGTAATGTGGTAGCCATACCTATCAAAAAATAGAAATGTGTGCAAAATGAGCAATAAATAAGTCTGCAGAGCATGCACAGGATATATCAACTAGTATGTTCTAAACAAATAACCATCACTAGCTTTGAAAGAATAACTTCGCATTAAAAAAGAGGTCCAACAGTCCACCCCCAGGATCACCAAATGACTAATTGGCCTTCAGTCTGTATGTGTAAATTAAATTTTTATTGGAACAAAGCCACTTCATGTGCATTATTTTGTATGCTGTCTGTTTCTGTTTTGTACCATACTGGTAGGGTTCGATACTTGCTACAAAGACTGAATGGATGCAGTATGAATATATTTAATCATTTTTTTCTTTTTTGGACATAGGATATCTAAAATCCTATTCTTTAATCAGCCATTTCCACAACATTCTCACTTACTAAGAAGTAATGCACCCGGAAATGGTAATTACTAATAAGTAATTAAATATCAAATGGAAAAGATGATCATATTTTTCATAAGAAACAAAGTTCATCACCCAAGCAAAAGCATTAGAATGAATATTAGTGTGTCATGCACATGAGGATAATAAAAATTTTTTAAATATTACTTTAATCAAATAGAATCAATAGAAACTTACTCCACATAGATGGCCTTTAGCTGCTGAGACAAAGATAAATTCTTGGCTGCTAGAAAGCTAGCCAGCTCTGCACTTATGACAGCCGCACTGACTCCGTCTTTGTCCAGAACAAAAGGACAGCACATGTATCCTGCAGAAATACAGGTCATACACATACCTTTCGGAGTGGATTCCTTTCCTACACAGCAGCAGGTATATGCGTGCACGCACCCTGACTGTCGCACATTAGGAGTGGTACAGTATTGAGCATATGCATGGTTCTCACTAACCATCCAATGTTTAAGTGGTTAGCCCAGTGCCTAGAATGAAGCAGGCCTTCAAGAAGTACGTGTTGAAGAACCCAGGAGGAAGTTTTTCCCTCCTGGCTAAAGGATACTCATTAACTATGGAGATTCATTCCAAGTCCCTCCAACTCATATAAAATTGGTTCCAATTACTTTAATCCATATTAGTGTCTTTCTTCTCTGGAACAGATGGTTCTGGATAGTTACATGATTCATCTCAGCACCTGGCCTCTATGCTTTCTTGTGGTTACTTAGAGCGATCTATATAAGCAGCTATAGGTCAAGATCAGTGTCATCCATTTCTTCCAGAGTCACAAAGTAACAGATATACAATTAATAGTTAAGAAACAATGTAAAATTTTTAAAAGTAAAAAACCTATGAAAAGATAATTCTGCCAAATCTGTTAACAAAAAAGCAAAAACTGAGCTTTTCCACTTCATTCAATTAGTTAAACAAATGATATGTATGTGTCTGTGCTGCAGGCAGTATACAGATGAACATAAAGTTAAGGCACAATAGTTTTTACTAAGCTGTTTTTACCAAGTTAACAGTTAAACGATTTCTGGGGCAAACATTTGGATTTCATATACCTATCTATAGCTAGCTCTTTTTTCTGCTCATACAGTGACAGTTTAGGACAAGGGGTTTTCAGCTTTTCTGGCTGGAATTGGGCAGTCCTTTCATGTGACCATGACCTTGATGAGAGCATCACAGCTGTGCCTTCTCCCCCAGTGCAGACTTAGCAAAGACCCTCCTTAGCACCCTTGGAGTGGATGGACCCTTTCAGGTTTGGATCTTTAACACCACAGTTGAAGAAACATCACAGCTCGCCCGAAGTGTGACTTCTCAAGCTGCTAGCAGCCCCGTGCAAGTGTCACTGTCTTTAGTCATCTGTGGGTGGCCTAATTTTCACAAGATGTCCCCTTTCATTGAAAAAAATATGAGATGCCAGTTTTGGAGTAGGACAGTTCAACACTCAAGCCCCCAAAATAGAAAAGTAAAGTAAACTGTGTGCTCTTGTTTCACTGTGGATCGGTTGGACTCGATCTAAGCCTTTTTCTCATTTATTTGTATCCTATATATTAACCGATTCTGATCCTCATTGTCACTTCTTACCAATTGCTTCTTCAAATGCAAATAAGACAGTCTTTCCCTGGTCTATGAGCTGTTTGGCTCTGTTTCCCATCCACTTAAATCCAGTTAATGTTTCCTACAGGGATAATGCAAAAGAAAAAGCAATGCCTTAGGTCTTCTATAAAGCAAAAGAAAGGAAAATGTGCAAGTCTCAAGAAGATCTTACCTCAAAATGAAACCCCTCCTTTAAGGCAATGGCCCGCAAGATTTTGGAGGAGACGGTGCTGGACAGCATGTATGTATCTTTGAGGGCACTGTGACCTTGGTTCTTTTCTTTCCAAGAAGTAAAGAGCCACCAGCCCAAGAGGGCCCCTAGCTCATTGCCTGAAAACACTCTCCATTCACCACTGAAAGAAATACAACCCATTCGTTTCATTTGAAGTGATCTTCAGGAAGGCATCGGGAATAGGACAACTAAGCATACAAGGCTCATCGTACTTTCTGTAAGACTGTTCTTGTCTTGCCTTTACAGAATTGGCCAGAAATACAGCTGTCACTGTATAAACATATAAGCAGCAACCATGTACTGGGCAGTTTGCCTAGACATACATCTATCTGCCTTTCAATTTTGTGTAAAACGAGCATATCAGATATGATATGGAATGCTTTAATTTTAATCTTTGGCAAAGGTCAAATGTTTTAAAACATTTGTTCCTAAGTACAAACTCTATGATTCAAACTTGTCTTGGCCATTGTGCCAATACCCCACTGGTATTCCTCTCTGTCCATCCACCTAATCCAGCGTATCTTTGAATATCCAGGTCCTTAGCCAGCAAACACTGAACTGCAAAGCCAGCACCAAGCAAAGAGCATTGCCCTTGTTAGGCATTGAGACATTATTTATATTAAAATCCATTATAACATGAGGAAGGATCACAAAAAGTACTTTCAATTCCAGATACTCATTGGGTTGATTTGCTCTACATTATGCTTGCCAGTGATCCAATCCTTCTACCTTTCAGATCAACATCTTGTTCTATTAGAGACTCCACAGAAAGTCTGTTGAAATGATTTGCAAAATAAATGTAAACTTAGTGAAAAATGTTTCCACATGGGCTCAGCTTGCCCAGGAATATGCTACTGCCAAAGATGTTATCCTTTATATTTTCCATTATAGAATCACAAGTAATTTCACCTGTCTTGCTTTTCTGCCACAGCAAGTCTATCGGCATCTGGGTCATTTGCTAAAACAATTTTGGCCTTGATTTTGTCAGCCAAAGCAAAAGATAAAGTCTGAAAAAGAGCATGAAAATAAAAGATTACTTAAATCAAGAATTGAATATATTGTAGTCTTTTAACATATTCAGGTTTTTAAGAGCTAAAAAAGGATTTTCTTCAAAGGAAGGGTGGACTTTACTTCTGGAGCTGCTCTTGTTTGGTCAGATGTTATCTTCCTAAGCCAGAGGTCAGCTAATGAGGCCAGTACACGATCCATACCTGCCCTGTGATTCCACACACATGTGACAGGCTGTGTGTGGTTAGACCGGTATTTCTAGGCATTGCTGCATGAACAACCTCACAAACAAACAAAAATAATTCTCTCAACATCACTGTTATCTAGCCTTAAAAAATATTATGTGAACCATAATTTAAATAATACTCCTTCATATCAGAAAGGTGAAAATGGAGGGATAAAAATCATAACATTATTATTATATTACTGTTAGCTATTGATATTAAACATAGCCAATTAAGTTTTAATTAAGTGTTAATTAAGTTGACTGAAAGCATTATTCAGATCTCAGCTCATACTCCATGATGGTATGATGTGTTGTTTGAAGTTTCCTTTAAGAAGTTAATGACTCAGCAACAGACACATTTCCAATGAAGAAAGCCATTTTTCTCCAATACAACAAAAACGTGAAATATTTTACTTCATAGTAATAGTTTTGACTTTATAGTCAAGGAAGATTTTATAATTTTGTAAAATGTAGATTACCAAGACTCCTTTACCCTCTTCAGGATTCGGGTATTTGACAGTTGGAAACTCAGGATCGGGGTCTTTCTGTTGAGGAACAGCCTCAGGAGGAGCCAGGTCAAAGGCCTTGAATGCTGCCTGCACGAAGTCATGCCCCACACCGTGGACAGAAGTGTGCACAAACTTCACCCGGGTCTCGATGTTCACACTCCTAGAATCAGACACACCACGAAAGACACAATTATGCCACAAAACTGGAAGGCTTGCAAAATACCAAGGAATCAGCTTCTCAAGGTTCTAAGAAGTCAAGGGGGTAAGAATACACAAGACAACTGAGTACTTCCTAGTTTCTTTTTTAAAAAAGAGAAGGAAAAAGAAGAGAGAAAACTTGTCCACTCTCTCCCTAAGTGCTTCTCTCTCCCCTCAACACATGCAAGGGTTAAGTTTTACTCCACAGTTACTTTCAGCAGGTCGGCCTACTTGCAGATATGTTTTAGGGTACTTCCTTGAAAGCTAAAGCGGAATTCAACAAAGAAGCCCAGGCGCAGCTTCCAGGACAAGACCCACAGCTGTGCCATGGATGCTGCCCATGGCTGTGCCTGAGCTGAGATTCTTTATTAGCTTCAGATATGACTTTCAAAATGGTCCTTTCAACAAACTGTGATGAATTATTCCACATGTGGACATATAAAAAAATGAATACAAGTTTTTCTTTGATAAGTAACAATTCTGTTTGACAAAGTACCATGACCTAGAGATTCAACATAGATAGCATAACTATAGAAAGAAAAATTAACACGAGTTACAGAAAAATAAACAAAAGGTTTTTAAAAACTTTTATACTCTGACTGCCTGAAGAAATGAATACACAAACAAGGTTTGTCCTAAGAGAACAGTGATTTAAAACAAGAACATGTTTGCATAAAAAAGCCTCTGAGCTGGGTGTGGTGACACATTCCTGCAATTACAATTTCTCAGGAGGATCAAGAGTTTGAGATCACTCTGGACAATTTAAGGAGATTTTTGTTTCAAAAAGAAAAAGAAAAAAAGGCTTGAAATGCAGCTCAGCACTCTCTGGGTTCAATCCCCAGTACTGTACGCATGCATCCATAAATAAATGCATCTAGAAAAATACATAGATTGGGGATGATAAATCTGAAAAAAATCTCTTGGACATTAAAATACATCACAAAGCTATGGAACTTGATATAAAAAGGCAGATTAAAGGAACAGAATAGAGAAACAAGAAGATCAAATTTGGAATGGGAAATGTCTATGAGAAGCAGTAAAGCTTAGTGGCTGTCATGCTCTGGAATCAGGCGCTGAATTTAAATTCTGGACCTCTGCCATTTATAAGCCAAGTGACTATTGGCTGTTGCCCAACCACTCTATGTCAGCTTTCTCAACTATAAAATGGCAAAACATAGAACCTGCCCCCTTAGGCAGTGCTGGGCAGGATTGAGAAGAGATCACAGGTGAAGAGCCTGAAGCAATTATCTGATACACAAGAAACATTCAATCAATAATAGAAACTGTTTTCTAAAGGTGACATTTCTTAGTAAAAAAAAGATCCTACAATTTATGGCTTTGGTATAACTGCAAATTTTTCAGAAGAACCTTAAGCTTCTGCCTTATTTCACATCATACAAAATTAGGAATTAACAGTGACTCAAAAGATTCAGCATTACAAAATGTAAAAACACAAAAGTTCTAGGAAAAACAAGAAGAATGTTTTTCTTTAGTTTTGTAAAGGAAGTCTTTTAAGGTATGACATGAAGCTCAGAAGCCATAAATCAAAAGAGCAATAATTAACAAAAAATTTTCAAAGTCCGACAAAAAGTTTTAATAAAAAACTGCAAAAGTAACAACAGGGGGGAAAACAATACTTGAAATAAACAAGACTAGGTTTCTATACAAATAAGGAAGTTTTGCAAAATGTAGAAGATGAACAAATGCATAGGGAAATATGTTAAATAAATATGAAAAAAGTTTATTCATACCTAAAGAATACAAATGAAAGTGAGATGTTATTCTCACCTAGCTCATTGGGAAAAATGAGAATTGGATAACACCCCACAGAGGCAGGAATGTGAGGCCATACTGTTCCAGGCTGCTGGTGGGAGCATCCACTGCTGCAACACTTTTGGTGAGCAATTTCCTAGCCACTATCAACTTTGTAAATGCACATACAATTATTCTGATGCCAGAAAGTTATTTCATGGGGACACACACGGACTCAAGAAACTGCGCGCTGGGGGTTGGCCCAGTGCTACTTGGAATAAGAAAAACCTGTAGACTCTATCAAGTTGGGGCAGAGGGGCAGAGGGAAACTTCACAAAGGTGTTGTTTGGATTATGCACCAGTGGAAAAAATAGTCACCAACATTTAGGAATTGGGAGATTTCTCTTGGGAAGGAAAAACACCCAAGAATCGCTGCAGCTGAGTGAACACTGGGCGAGGATGGCCACTCTCTTCAAATAAGATGGGGGGGTCACACTCTGTCCTGGAGCTGCCACCAAATGGCCCAATACAGCACTAGAAACAAGCTGGGAATTCAGCTTCTTTAAATCAGTGGTGTCTTGCCGGGGGACACCGGAGTAGTGAGACCCACAGCACAGCTGGGAAGGATATCTCTGTCAGCCACCTACACTGCTTCGTACCTGGTTGAAGGTATGGAGTCTGTGTCACTGGGTTAAGCGAATGGGTGCAGTGGCCTTTAGAACAAAAGAGGCAGGACAAATAGGGACTAACACAGGAAGGTGTCTAGGGCAAACTGAGGAAGAAAAGCACAGGCCAAACTGCACCCATACTATGATTCTGAAATATGTTACACATATATATGCTTGCATATGCACAGAAAATGTCCATAAGATGAGAAAATGTCAGTGTTTCCTTCTGGATAATTTTTGGTATGTTAAAATGTACACATATAAACATATATACACACATATATGTATAAACACACACGTATACTCACACCTACAAATATATATATACCAGGCAGCCACCTATGGCCTACCTGCCAGGCCCCTGCTTGGACACAGTGTTTTGAGAACACAGCCGCTTGGTACTGCTGCACTGACAGGTCACCTGTGGCTGCGTGCATACTACAACTTCAAAACTGACTAGATGAGAATGAGTCCGTGTTACCTGCAAAGCCAGAAGTATTTTTCTATCTGACCCTGTAAGAAAGGTTGGCCAAGCCACTGAGGGAGGGGGACTGCAGGTTCAAGGTCAGCCTGGACTACATAGCAAGACCCTGTGTCAAAAGAGAAGAGAGAAGAGAGAATGGAAAAAGAAAAACATGACAAACCTTGATTCACAGCCCCTGTATTGACAGAATTTAGCCTAGTCACATTACTTAACTCACTTAAAGTCAGCAAAGATATAATCCAGTTACCTGTGAAAACAGTATTTTTTAAGGTCTTCAAAGTAGTCATTATTGATAGAACCAGTAGGGTTGTGAAGGAGGGAACTGCCATCAATTAAAGAATCATCCCAAGCTTGAGGCCAGGGCTCTAGATTTTCTTCGATAGCTTGAGAAATCCCTTTATCGTGTGGAGAGATAATCTGGGCCCCATTGTCCCAGTAGACCTAGAGAAGCCAGGGATTCATTAAAAAGTTTAGAATTAGTTGGGTTAGGTGATGCACACCTGTAATCCCAGCACTCTGGGAGGCAGAGGCTCCAGATCACAAGCTGGAGCCCAACCTGGGCCACTTCATGACCTAGCAAGACCCTGTCTCAAAAGATTAAAAATAAAAAAAACTTTTTAAAGAGTTGGGGACGTAGCTCAGTGTCAAGACCCTGGGTTCATACCCAGTACTACAAAAATAAATTTTAAAAGTTCAAGGTTAATGGAAATCAAGGATCCATTACCTGTTCTCCCAAATAACACAGGGACAGGATAACTTCAGAAAAAGAACATGTGAAGAAAGAAAGAAAAATACCTTGTAGCCATTGTCCTGCTTTGGGTTATGAGAGGCAGTGATCATGATTCCAGCACAAAGTTTCAAATGCAGCACAGAGTAGGGCTGAAACAGCAGGAGAGAGGGACACTGTTTAACAAAAGCAGACACACTTGAAGGGTCTATTGTAGACTGCTGGTGCCAATTTGTTCCCCTTTTAATAAACATAATAAATATCATAGTCAGAGTGGTAGCATATTGATCATTCAATGTTTTTGTGTCACTCCACACAATATATAGTACCCCCCATCTCTGGTTTTACTGTTGCTGGTTTCAGTTACCCATGGTCCAAAATACTGACATTTGTCATGACTCTCTGAGGAGAGAGAAAATTTACTTAACTTTCACTAGTGTATTTTGTATAACTGTTCCATTTTATTATTAGTTAATTGTCGCTAATCCTTTATGTGCCTAATGTATAAGTTAAACCTTATATATGTATGTGTAGAAAAAACCAGAATTGATAGGGTCTACTACTAACCATGGCCTCAGGCATCCACTGGAATGCACGCCCCAGCTCCTGAGCTAAAGGGAGACCACTGGACTCTTTATTTTCCTAGAACTAACTGGCTACCCTAAATGATAGGATATGTGTCTTCATTTCTTAGGAGCCATCTTCTCATTTTGTCTTCTTGCTAAAGCTAGAAAATGCTCCAAACAAAAAGATGGTCTAAGTCTCCACTTCACATTCTTTTAAAGCTTTTTGTCAGGATAGACACTTAAATATTCAGTTGACTGTCTCCAGCTGATTCTTTTCTCTTCTTTCTTTTTGTTTGCTTTTAAGCAAAAGGTTGAGGAAATGGAGAGTGCGTTTATAGGTATCTCATTTATCTCTTAATTTCAGGGTTAAGTATAGTTCCCTAAGATTTGAACATAGCTCCCACCTTTATAAGACTTCTCAAAATAGAAGAGAGGGTAATCCCAGTACTTGGGAGGCTGAGGCAGGAGGACCATCACAAGTTTGAGGCCAGCCTGGGCTACATAGTGAGTTCAAGGACAGCCTGAACTGCACAGCAAGACCCCCATCTCAAAAGAAAAAGGGGAAAGGGAATGGATTATTTCCCCTATGGTTGCAAAGGAGATTTATGAGATTTACTACGCACAAACAACACAAGATTTGACCCATCTGTCCCTGTCCACTCTCTCACAAGAATCACTGCACTCATTTGTCACCTTGAAAGTTATGTCATTCCCATCAGCGGTCTTGATGCAAAGAAAATAGCAGACCCACTTGACAGTGTGGAAAAGTAATCAGGAGACACTCCCTGAATTCAAGTCTGATGTAAAAATCATACAGAAGACAATTAGGATGCTTGAACATGCTGCAAGTTTTCCACCAAGTGATGAAACTACATGCGGATGTGTCACATAGTGTCTACTGGGTCACATTCAACCTTGGGGTTGCTGCATCTGCCTGTCAGAGCCCGGAGACAGCAAACACAGAACCAGGGGCACCCCCTTCTGTCTCGATACCCTCTTGTTTCTGCTCAATGTAAGTAACTGCATTCAGATCATGTTTTCTACAAACATTCCCAACATCTGGCCCTGCTCTCAACAGCTCAGTCTATTTAAAAGTTACAGCAATCAGAGTCCCTGGTACCCTTTTCTTTAGATTCTGCTTCATTGAAGATTTGATAAAAGGCTAGCCAACTTGTCAAAAATACTCCAAGCAGCATTTGAAGTGAAGGAGGGGACTGCCATCAGCTAAAGAATCATCCCAAGCTTGCGACCAGGGCTCAATCTAAAATTTAGATTTGGACCTAAGGAGTTTCCTATTTACGACAGCTGGGGGAAAGGCTCTACTCACCAAACAGAGCAAGAATTAACAAAACATTTTATTGACTTGCTAAAATATTCTTACCATGTAAGCAAAAAGGAAACTTACACTTTAAAAAAAATCAGTTCTAATGAATCAAAAGTTGAGTACTGGGAGAATATTACCAAGATGTGGGCAAAATTTTCCTGGACAGAAAAGAGGCAGCCTGATAAACACCAAGGAGCGCTCTGTCATTGAAACACCCAAATGCCAACAGCATGAAGGCCTGTAACACTCAGCAAGTCCCATCCCTGATCCTGTGGCAGGAAATTCAGCAAGAAAATGGTTACTTACCACAAAGGGAGTTGGAGTTATATGAGAAAAGAGGTGCACAGGAACCCCCTGGCTGATAAATGTGGCTGCAGCAAGTCGGGCAAACCTAGAAACGTAGTGACAGGGAAGAAAAGGCATCCAGCTGTCATAACCACGGGTGATGGAAAGCAATAAGTGGATGTGGAACACTGCTTTAGCTTGAACACAGCAAACCAGAGGAAGGAAAATACTGTTACAAATATTTACTCAGCTTTAACTGCTAAAGCTGGAGAACCCTCAGGGGTCATAGGACTAAAACCAGAAAGTCCAGGCACCTTGCCCCACAGTAGTGGCCACTTAGCATCTGAACCAGGCCTGTACCCGTCTTTCAATTCTCTGTCCATCTCGTCTACCTCAGTGGTTTGCAGCTCAGGCAGTTCTGTACCCGTGGGACATCTGAAATGGAGAGGGATGTGCTACTGACAGCCAGTGGGTAGATGCCCGGCATGGTGCTAAATATCCTACAACGCACAGCTCAAAGAACTCACCAGCCAGAATGAAGTCATGTACCATCATGCAGATGCTGAGCAACACTAGCCTAAACCCATCATGATCCAGTACATACCAGGCAAACCAGAATCTGATCAGGTATTGTTTTATTTGAAACAAAGGTATAGGGGCTGGGGATTTAGCTCAGTGGTTCCGGCGCCTGCCTCGCAAGTACAAGGACCCGAGTTCGATCCCTGGTACCAAAAAAAAAAGAGACAAAGGTATATTGATGTACACACTCATACAGACACACACAGGTACACACTCATATGGACAGGCACACAGGTTTTGATACAGCACCCCTTAAAAACTTTTAATCTCTGGCATTTTTCTCAACTTGCACAGTAACTGGCTTAGAGCAGGACATTTTTGGAGTGAAGTACTTTAATTTAGTTCCACTGAACTGCATAATAATATTCCAGGATTAAACCCCAGATCACCTTTTTCTTTTTTTTTGAAACTGGGTCTTGCTAAATAGTCCAGGCTGGCCTTGAGCTTGTGATCCTCCTCAGCCTACTGCATGCAGGGATTACAGGTATGTGCCACCATATCCGGCTTCCTCAAATATTTCTTCAGCATTAGCTTTGTTGAACTCTATTCTGTGAGGTGGCTGGAACACAAAGACCTCTCCCCTTGCTTCAACAACACAAGTATTAAAATTCCTAACATCATCAGAAATACAAAAATGATTTTAACAGTTAAAGAAATTACCTGTACATAGTGGCAAGTAATAAAAATAACAAAAATCAGCAAAATAATTTTAATAAAAATCTGAATAAAATCCAGACTACTTTACTACAAGGCACATGTCTTTTACCTTCATGAAATGTTCATTATTTAGGTGACCTCCAAGGCCCTATCTTAAAGCTGGCAAAGGAGATACTCTATATGTGGGCGATAACTGTATGTACAGTTACAAATGTGCATAAAAAATGTTCAATGTGCTTTCTGCAAGTGCTTAATAGTTACAGCTATGTTTCCTACCAAATATTTAAAACCAGAGGATTGAAAAACTAAACATTTCCTGAAGTAGAATTTTGAGGTTCTATTAGCTTCAACTTTTTAGGAAGAGTCTATTCATCCATGATGTGTATTTTGCTATGTATTGGTTTCATATTTATATTATGACCTCTAAATGTCTTGCAGAGACACATGTATGTGACAGAGTAGCCCTGAGCTCACTCCCTCCCATCCCATGAGACTCTAAGTCTTGACCCATAAGCTCAGAATCAGTAGTGTCAGTCACTTCAAGCCAATTCCATGGCTCCCGGCCAGAGCAAGAAATACCTTTACCCTCCCTGACAAGATTTCTGAAGTTCGGCCACAGGGAGAGACTGTGCCTACTCTGGCCACTGGGTATGACCTGCTCTGAGGCAGAACACGCTCATGATCTAGTTCTAACTGTGCTGTTAGGAATTATAAGATGACAAGCTGATAACCTGGTTTATTCTGTGCCACTCTCTTGTGTAGTTCATATATGCTCCTCCCCAGAGTTCCGGCTTTTCTCTAGTCTTGCTGTCAAAAACCACATTTTGGAACCTGCAAAGCTAAAGACAGAAACCCTATATCCTCCTGGTTTTGATCTGGGGGCTGAATGCCATCTGGTTTTTTTCCCTGGCCACGCTTCCTTCTTCATGGACACAATTTTGTCTCCACCAGTGCTTCTCTCAGATTAGAAGCTCCTATGGGTCAAGACCAGGACTCTATAAATTCATACAGCACTGAAAAGGTAATAAGGATTTTCCTTAATATCTAAGAATCTATTACTACTTACAGTCTGCAATGATTAAGAAAAATTCATCATAATAGGGCAGTATGCAAGTGAAAAGAGGGTCATGTAACATGGTAATCTATACCCTGCAGTATGCACAAAGTTCTCCGTGTATACTTTCCATAAGAGGTTCTGGGGTATGCAGCAGAACCGAGTAGTTGAGGTATAGACTGTATGGCAGGGGTCCCCAACGCTGGGACCACAGACCAACAGTACTGGTCACCAGCCTGTTAGGAATAGGGTGGCACAACAGGAGGTGAGCAGAGGCACCAGCCAGGGAAGCTTAGCCTACATTTATAGCTGCTCCCTATTATGCACGTGTTACCACTGGGGCTCTGTCTCATGTCAGCTTTCTTATGTAAAACTGTGGCTCCTCTCACATTACCATGTTGGAGATAAAGTACAGTCAGCCTTCTGTATGTGCAGGTGCTGCACCAGCAGATTCAGCCAACTATGGATGAAAAATGTCATGTTGTTGCTGGGCTGTACTACTGTGTTTCCTCCAAAATAAGATCTAATCGGAAAATAATCAGCCTTGAAAACTAGAGATCAAAACTGCCAGCCCCAGTCAGCCTATCCTTGCCTTTTGTGCCTTACAGAGTGGCCATTGAACAACAGTGAGGTATACTCTTTTGCAAAACACTAACCATCACATGGTAACTACCAGCTAGAGCTTATTTTCTGGTTAGGCCTTATTTTCATGGAAAAACAGTACGTAGTTAGGCCTAGGATAGCTGTATTCATACTGTTGGTTTACAAACTTTATCTTGCCATAATTCGCTAAATGATACACTGGAACGATTATTTACATACCATTTATATCTTTTAGGTATCACAGATAACCTAGAACTCATTCAAAGTACATAGGAACATGTACGTAAGATTATATGCAAGCACCATGCCATTTTATACAAGGGACTTGAACATCCACAGATTTTGGTATCCGAAAGGGTCTTGGAGCCAATCTGCCATGGATAGCAAGAGACAACTGGAAAACCTTATGGGTTGTTGTGAGGATTAAAAGAAGAAATATATAAATGCCTGGGTCACGATCAGCCCTCCAGTGATGGCTGCTGTTCCCATCATCACTGTGGCTCATCACCTGGTCAGAGCTACCTAGGACAGCCAAGGGGTTCGGAATGTTACAGAAATGCAGCCTCAGATGGGAGTGTAAGAATGGGAAGGGACCATGAGTTTTATGAATAGCAGAAGAAAAAAATTACCCAAAAGGAAGCAAGGGAGAGGGAGAAATCATATTGCCCGTTTAAGAAATTTCTTTCCTTTAGGTAAGTATTACATTCTAAATGCCTAAATCACTTTATTTTCTTAACTTCAACATAAAAACTATATCTTTGGCAGAACCAAAGAGAATTTACCATTTTTGATACAGTTTAGGTACTATGTAGCTAATAATCTATTTAAAGTTAAGCTGATGAAAAGGTGATTAACAATAAACTTGCAAAATAAACTACCAAAACATTGTTCCCTAAAAGTGTCTCCATACCTTTGGCTGCTACCTCCGCTGGCAGGGTGAGCTCGGGAGTCGAAGCTGATCACGACACCCCTCTGCTTGAGGTCACTGAACTGCTTCTCTAGGTACCTGCAAAATCCCTAAAAACGCCCCATGGATTAAAAGAGCGTGTTTTAACGCATCTTTTATATATGCAATATAGAAAAATTAGCCCAAAATGCCGTTTTCTCAACTTTCACAGGAGAACATTGTAACACAAGGAAAAAACTTCTCAGTGATTAAACAAATCGAACAATTTTTTAAAAGTCTTTTTTTTTTTTTTTTGGCTTTTTTAAGATAGGGTCTCACTGTGTAGTTCAGGCTGGCCTTGAACTCATTTTGTAGCCCAGGTTGGCTCCCAACTCGTGCAGATCCTCCTGCCTCTGCCTCCCTAGTGCTGGGAAAAAATAGTATCTTTATCTCCTGTCTGTCTGTCTGTTTGTGTCAGACACTGCGTTGGGCACTCATTTATTATCTCCCACCCCACATAAACTTTGTGAAGAAATCCCATTCTACAGATGGAACACCTGAGGCTCAGAGAGGTGCGGTGGCTTGGCCAGCTCCAGGCACATGAGCAGCAGAACGTGGCTTTGTACCCAAATCTGGAGAGAGGTGGCTCAGGGTGAAGTTTAAGTACACACTCTGGAGCCAAAATGTGGATTTGTACTCTGCCACCTACAAGCCAAGTGACAAATTTCTTAATCTCTTGATGCCTCACTTTTCTTTCCTATAAAACAGGAATAACAATAGTACCTACCACATAGAACTGTTACAAGGCTTAAATGAAATAAAACATGTACTGGTTGAGAATTTGACACCAAGAAGGCACTGTACAAGTGTGCATTGCTAAGGGCATTATTTTCATCATCATTTTCTTTCAAGGATTATGCTGTTTCCTGTGTGTTAGTTACCTCTACAGCATCAGCTAAAAAAAAAAAAAAAAAGGCAATGCAGAAATCTCTTTCTGCCAGTGCATGTCTATAAGCCCAGCACTCAGGAGGCTGAGGCAGGAGGATCACTGGAAGTTCAAGGCCAGCCTGGGCTACATAGTAAATTCAAGGCCAGCCTGAACTACATAGTGAGACTCTTTCTCAAAAAGAGAAAAAGTGAAATCTCTTCCTAATTGGCAACATCAGTAGGTCAAAGAAACCAAATATGTTTTATAAGACTTTGAGTATTAACTAATGGAAATGTTTTGTTTGTTTGTGTTGTTTTTTCTGAGGTGTAAAGCCACAATTAGCCTAATTACAGGGTATAACCAACCAGACAGACAAAACTTGGGCAGCTTGGGTGACCACCACCTACCCAAAATTGCTGGACCATGCCATTTCTGCATCTGGATGGTGCAGTAACATCCCCAAAATTTCAAATATAGGAGACTAGAAAACAGTGACATGGAATTCAAAAGCTTTAGATTACTGGATATTATTATTGAACAAACAGCAGGTGGTCGATTGGGCAGTAATGATGGTTCATGCTACTTATTTCACTTTGGCTAAAGGGATTCTTATAAAAAAGAATAACTTATTTCTTGCAGGGGAATCCTTCACAGTCTTGTTGTGAAAGTAGTGTCCATTTAGAATCCCTTTACTTTTTCTTTGAGAGACATACTGCACTGGGCAGATCTCCTGAATCTGAGTAAAGTCTCAAGGAAATAAGGACCTATGTGTATGGGTTTTGGGTCTTCCCAGAAAGGCACCCACATGCCTGTCTGTGGCTTACCACAGCACCAGCTCCCACCACTCTCCCTGGTCACCCCCTGTGCTTTGCCCTCAATGTTCCAGAGGGCAAGAAGCCTGCAGCCTTGGTCCAAATCACAGCTCCACATTCTCTAAAAAGCTCCGGGGCCTGCAGACTTTGAAGACCAGCGAATGAGAATGATGCAAAGAGAGAATGGGCTATTTCGGGGGGCAGTGAGTTCTCCAGCCCTGATAAGTGATGTCTAGGTTAAGTAATCTAAACATATGAGTCACAAATAGAGCATGAAATAGGCATGAATTGTCAGAAGGAAATTATAACCTCTAGCAATGAGGCAAGCAAGTGATACTCAAGTTTTCCTCCTGGTTTTGTTAAGATGTTCTTGACTCAAACACACCTGCTTTATAACCAAAGCAGGAAAACTTTAAGACATTAGGTTGAGACTCCACACCAAGTGACCTGCACAGTTGCACATCAGCATTTGACAGGGAGTGCTCCCCAAAGGTGGGGCAGGGGCCTGAGCTCGGGGATCCTCTTTCTGGGATTTCTGGGAATCCTCCATGGCTGGAATTACTCCTGAGATAGTAAAGAGGCACCTGCTGCCCTCATAAAACTTTCTTTATCCTTACCATTCTCATCTCCTATAGCAAGTATCCTAGTAGAGGCTATATGACCACCTGGGAAGGGGATACTGCAGAGTTTATCCCAAGGGATGGCTGGCTGGATGAGATGACCTCTAAACTATCTATTTGTCTTGGTTTTGTGGAGTTCTTAACTACCACAGGGCCCACTGCCAGAAGAGACCAGTTCTTTCAGGGTGTGTGTGAGTGGGTAAAATAACTGGCAAGATCTTCCTGGGGATGTACTTCTTCATTTTTGGAAAGATAGATAAATACTGGACAAAGGTCCAAAGGTCCTACATTCATCTAGAATTTCTTAGAACCCCTAATAATTAGGCCTAGTAATAGCTGTGACCAACTGGACTGTCCAAAGATGGTCATGCATCTTAGAATATGACACAGACATTCCATGAGAAGTGGTGTTTACAGGCCCCCTCCTTGAACCTTGAATAGGACCAGCCTCACTGACTCACTTTTAACAGAGTATGGTGGAAGGAAGGAACTTTTTGTGGCTTTCAAACCTTGGCCATGAAAATCAATGCAGCATCCACCTTGCATCTCTCTCTCTCTCTCTCTCTCTCTCTCTCTCTCTCTCTCTCTCTCTCTCTCTCTCTCCTGTGTGAAGCCAGGTCACATTGGAGGTTTTCCAGCCCCAGTAAGATCTCAGGCAACAGCCAGCAGTAACTGCAGCCATGTGAGTATATGATTCTAAATGACTCCAGTCTCCAAACTGGCCCAGGTGATACTAGGCAGGACAGAGATAAGCTGTCTCCATGGAGCTCTACACAAATCACAGGGGTGTGAGCAAGACAAATGTGGAAGTTGGTAGAAACCACCACGTTTTGGGCAACTTAGAACACAGCTCTAGTAACTGGAACAGAAAGTCACCTTGGGTGGCACATCCCACTAGGTCAGGATGCCCAGACTTACTATTGTAAGCCCTCCCTCCAAAAGGATCCCAGGCAGCCCTGCAACTTAAGTTTACAGCCAGGGCTCTGAGTAACTGGGCCCCCTTAAATAAGCTTTCCATATTGGGGTTTCAGTAGGATATGCCCAACTCTGCCTTTTATTCAGGGATGTACATGTAAGGCAAATTTTCTAGCTTTGCCTTTCCAAGAATTGAGGAGATGCTCATTTTTAATAAGTCTAAGTAGTTGCAGAAATTGTGAGAATAGATTGTTCTAATTCAATTCCTTCATAAATACTTTTCCCAATACTCAATACTTTATGTTTTGTTTTCATCTGTATCCTAAAAGCTGGATCTCAACTCTGACAATTAAACCCACAACTAAAGCAAGGGAGGAAACTCAGTAATAGTTTCAATCCATATCCACATTTTCAAAAAGCTACATGGAATAGGTTCTTGATGATACTAGCAATGTTCTTTCAATACTAGCATCTATCAAACCATAAGAAAAATGATAGGACCTTATAATTCAGCTCAATTGATGGGTTTGTTCTGGAATCAAATCTCTACAAGGGAACTGTTTTAGTCATTAATAATACATCTCCAATGCCTAGCACATAGTGGGTGCTCAATAAATCCTTTAGATGATAAGTGGATAGATGTCTAGCTGATCGTGAATGTTGAAACAAAACTGCTTCAACCCATTTCACAAGCCTCACTTTCTGGAGTAAATGTGATGACTCCTTGTACCTACCCAAGTCAAAAGACATGTCTATAATTACAATAACAGGAGCCAGGGGATGCACTATGAGTGCATATGACTAAGAATTATAAAAACACACTACCTGTGTAGTCTGGATGATGGTCAAGTCATTCATCCGAGATATCCCTGGACCCATAGGTGCTCGAAGGCCAGCTGTCCCAAACTCCATTCGGGTGCCAAAACATTTTTGTAATTCTTCTTTATTACCTGCCGCAATTAATTTTCTCACTAACTCCAAAGTTAGAGGATTCTGCAAAACAGAAATGTATACAGCAGATACAGCCAGGTGAATCAGAGAACAAAATCCTGCAGTTTAAAAAAATTCCACAGTAATTTTAACCTCTAAGGGAAAAAAATATATACATGTAGACTTTTCAGGTTTCTGATGCTTTTGAAATCTGAAACAGAGGATCTGTTTGGCATTATAAAATCACTATAATTTTCTTTCCTCCCAAGGCAAGTACGCATCACTTGTGACCCGTATCTGCTTGCGCAGGCTATCTAGCTTCTTGAATTCTCAATTTCCTCACCTATGAAATGGGAACAATTTAGAAAATCCCTTACATGGTTTTTAAGGCTTTAAATTAAGTTAATATGAAATCTCTCTCTCTCTCTCTCTCTCTCTCTCTCTCTCTCTATTTAGTACTTAGTTGTGATTACATATTCATTTTCTTCCCTAATGCCATCATATTTTGCCAGAGTCACAAATTGTATGATTTAAATCAAAACTTCACTTTTGTAGTGCTTTATAATTTGTACAAGGCATTCACATACCCGGTTGAGTTTGAATCTTGTAACAACTCTAAGAGGCAGGCAAATAACAGATGAGAAACTTTTGTAATGTTTTATACTACAGAAATTGAGTGACTTCCTTCAACTGCATGACAAATATTAACTTGATTCTTTGCTATTATATTAATGGCTTCAAATAGACACCAACATGAATCATTTAAATTCATTACACATTGCCCTTTGTAAAGCAGTTGTAGAAAATGTTAAGACTGGAGAAAAATAATGATGACCACATTAATTCCATATCAGAGTTTTCAAGGGTTCAGGGGACTGAGAGATAGTACTTTACGTTTATCTTACAGCATCAGTCATTTAGACGAACACTCAGACAGGACGTGGCTAAGTAATTAAACTTTGAAATACTATTGCAATAACCTTGACTTCCTGGAATTAAGCCCATCTTTCCAGATTGTTCCAGATTCAACAGGAATCAAGTACAACCACACCTGTGTGACCAAAAGCAATGGGCACTAATCACAGGACATAATCTTACCCATCAAATTGTCAGGTGCCCCCAAGGAAGGGCTCAGATCTGGTACATAAAAGAGGCTCAATAAGTATCTGTTGATTTCATGGTCACACCCAATATCCAGTGATTCTCTGATTCATAATGCCGAGTTGGAAAATCCTAATTTGCTTTGGGTATGCAGGAAAGACCCAGTAGCCTGAGAGAAACAAAGTAGACAGAGATAATGAAAAGTTGAGAAGGCAGCAGCCAAGGACCGGACCAGGGAAGGTGTAGCAGGGGTGTACAGAGCTGGAGCAGCCAGAGGCCTTGGGTAGAATCAGACCAGCAGCTAGCCAATAGCAAAATAAAACAAAATCATGACTGCTTGTTCAAAAAAAAAGAATCAGACCAGCAGTTAGGAGTTTCAGTGGAGGATATGTGTGCTCCTTCCTAGATAAGCACTTGTCTCAAGCCAAAGAGAAAATGAAAAAGACAGAGCATGGAAGAGGGGTAAAAATTAAAAAACAGAAAAGGACAACACTGTTTTTCTTTGACCCAGGGAGCTACCGTCACTACAAAGACACAACCTTTTGTAGAAATTACATTTTCTTTTTTTTTTTCTTCAAAGGGAAAGTTGTATGGAACATTACTAACTCTGGCTTTAAAAATACACTACAAGCTCCACGTTACTAAGTTATCAGCCAGAGAAACATTTTCCTTCCCTTACAAATCACAAAGTTATTGTTCCAGGAAAAGACCAATTCTCTGGGGAGTTGCCAATAGCATTCTGGAAATGGGAGTGGCTGACATTCACGTCAGGGAGCCAGGACATGGCAAAAGAAGGTACCTACTATGTACTGGGCACTGTACCAGGCACTATGAACCACGGGGTTAGTGAGGGCAGGCAGCATTTGCTAAATAATATTCAGGGCCCTGGGCAAAATGAAAATGAGGGAATCTTTGTTCAGCAATTAAGAATTTGAACACTAGACAGCAGGGGCCAGTTAGGGGCCTGACTAGCTGCATGGGACTCAATCTCCTAAAGTCCGACCTGGACACAGACATTACAAATAAACTGACAAGTGTTTGTAGGTTTTGTTGTTGTTTGTTTGCTTGTTTTTCCAGTTGCAGTAAGAGCTATGAAGGAACAGGACAGGATGTTTACAGAGTATTTGGGAAAAATAAGCTGCTTCTCTATGTGAGTCACATTCACACCTAAAACAGTAACAGCATTAGAAACAAACTCGGCAGAAGGGAGCAGACAGGAACATTCTGGGAAAACAGCACGCACGAAGGAAAAGCAAGAGACTGGATTGATTGGAGGGAGGAAGCCTCTGGTGGAGCTGGCTGTTAACTCTTCTTTCTCCAGTCTCAGAAAGGCAGTAAACAGAAAAAGTGATGCTGTCTCCAAAAGGTCCCCTGTCACCTTCTCCGCAAAATCAGTCTCCTAAGGGCAACCCCCGAGCCGGGCAGGCCCACCGCAGAGGGCGGGTGTTTGCAGCCAAGCCCTGGGGACAGACGGGTCTCGGACAGATGGATGGGAAGGTTGCTCAGCAAAAGATGCAGGAATGAAAATGGACGGTGCCGAGCGGTTCTGGATCCCGGAAGCTGCGTTGAGGACTGCAAAGGACCGGCCAGCGCTCAGAGTGATAGGGACGCCCGGCCTCAAGCACACACCGCCCGGAGTGCGGCCACCGTCAGACCACGTCCCCGCACTGGACCGGCAGTCCCGGAGGCCCGGGTGGCGGCTCTGCCCCGGGACAGCCCTGCCCCAGCTGGAAGCTGGGGCTGCGCTCGCCCGGGTGAGGCCGGGTCCTCCGCGAGCCCCTCACCTGGTCCCAGCGCAGCCATCGCGCCGTCTCCTGCTCCACCCGGGCGTCCGTGCCTCCCGGGGCCGGTGTCGCCGCCGCTGCCATCCCGAGCCGCCACTGCCAATGGCTGGAGGCCGGGTCACCTTCCGGCGGGGCGGGGACGGCGGGCGGGACCTTGGAGGAAAGTGACGTGGCCTCTCCGGGAGGCACCAGGCCTGTGCCCCGGTCCAGGAGTGGTGGCTCGTTCCATCCACAGAATCCCGGAATCGGGAAAATTATAAGGAAACAAATCAGTGATTTCTTCCAAGAGCTGGGGCTAGGGCCAAAGAGTGGTGATGGAACGACTCTGTGTCTTGATTGAGATCTTGGCTGCACAGTTTTTGAGTTGCTTAGGACCGAAGTGGGCGTGGTGGCACCAACCTTGTGCTCTGGGAGACTAAAGCAAGAGGATCAGGTGTTGAGCCCAGGCTGGGCAATTTAGTGATTTAGTGAGATCCTGCCTGAAAATAAATAATAGCTGGGTCTGGTGGCACACGCCTGTAATCCTACCTCTCAGGAAACTGAGGCAGGAGGAACTGTAATCCCAGCACTCGGAAGCTGAGGCATGAGGACCACGGCGAGTTCGAGGCCAGCCTGAACTACATAGCACGACCCTGTCTCAAAAAAAAAGAGAACAAATAAATAATAAACACTGGGGATGTTGGCCAGTGTGAAAGCCTTGGTTTCAATCCATTGTTCTACAAAGCAACAAAACTCAGAATTGTACACTCAAAGAGTAATAAACAGTGTGTAAGTTATATTTAAATGTGTATAAGTCTTAAGATCAAGAGCAAGGGATGTTGTTGAGTGGTAGAGTGCTTGTTTTGCAAGTGTCAGGCCCTAGTTTCAATCACCAGCACTTTTAAAAAAGGTCTTAAGATTAAAACCTAAAATGAACCCGGAGAGGCTGAGGCAGGAAGATAATGAGGTTGAACCTGGCCTGGGCAAGAAAGCCTGTCTCAGGGTCAGGGATTTAGCTCAGTGGTTCCGCAGCCTCTGCCTTGCAAGTACAAGGTGCTGAGTTTGATCTCCAGTACCAAAAAAAAAAAAAAAAGAAAGAAAGAAAGGCTGTCTTAGAATAAAAGATAAAAAAGGGGGTGGGGATATAGCTCAGTGTGAAGGCCCTGAATTCAGTCCTCAGTAACACACACACACACACAAAGAAGAGGAAGAGGAGGCAAGGGAGGAAGGAGAGGAGGGAAAAAAGAAGAAAAAGGAGAAGAAGAAACCTAAAGGAAGCAAAATCATTTATGGATGTCAGGAAAGTTGTTTCCTTCAGGAAGCAGGGAAACGGCCTTTTGGAATTTTGGACCTGTTCTATTTCTTGACTTCCACAGGTGTCGTTACATACAATAATTCACTAAGCTGCAGTCTTATGAATGTGCATTTTCTGTGTGTTCTACTTTAATACTAAACAGAAAAAATATGTGTCCAGGATCTGTACTGTTGGTTTGAATATAATGGGAGAGGTACATCAGCCATAAAACCACGAACGGTTACTGCCTAATTCTAGCTGAGAACTGCCTGAAGGGAAGAAATGCCTGCCTGAGAGTGTGTGGTGGACCGGGCTGCCCCAGTCCCGGCTTCCGGAGCATCTCCGATCACTTGCAGGGAATGCAGAGCTTTGGCGGCGGCTGTGGTGAACGTCAGGAGGCAGCCTGTCAAATGCTCATCAGACAGACTGTTCTTCCTTGCACTGAAAGGCCGAGAGAAATGGGAGCACAGAGGAGGTGCTGTCTTCGTCTATGCTGAGGTATAGCTAAACACCACAGACTGGGAATTCATGAGGAAGAGCAGTTTGCTTAGCGCATGGTTCCAGAGACTGAGAAGTTCAATGGCAAGGTGCACATGATTTTGGGCACTGTGTTTCCAACACGTGCACTTTTGGAGAACACATTCAAACTGTAGCAAGTGGGCAGCAGTGGGGTCCAAATCCGGGTGGGTGTCTGCGGTTGGCCCACTTGGGCTGTCTCCTTTTTCTGCACTAAAGCAACCCTCTTCTCTGTCACAGCAGGCAGAAATTGTAGGGCACGTGGAGTAGGAGACCAGGCACCCTTGTTTTCCTCTTAAATGCCAGTTTTCCCAGATGAGTCTTTCCATTTCTGCCAAGATGACTATGGAATCTCCAAGTGATAGGCAGTTCTGGGTCTCAGAGTTCACGTGGGACCCTCCATGATGGACGGGGTGGTTGTCACAGAGTCTCTGCTGTCATGCAGAAGTGGGGGGCAAGGGCGTGTTTGGATATTTTATTGCATGAAACATGATGGACCCATGGTGACGTCTGTTCAGAACTATTTTAACCTCATCAGAGACACCGAGATGCAGACTTCTCTTTGTTCTTCTATTGACTTGAGAGAAGAAAGCAAGATTTTCAAGCAGAGAGTAACTTTTAACAAGGAAATTGCCAAATTGTAAATACATTCTCCCAGGACAGCAAGATCTTAAGTATTGCTCTGAAATCCAATGTATGAGAGTCGATGACTTCTGTCTAGATTCCCATGTGGAGTAGAAAACAGTCCCTCTAAGGGGCGGGACGGCGGGGGGCGGGCACGTCCAGGCACAGAAGAAAGTCTCAGGGTATTCTGCAACAAAGGTGACAACACTCAAGGTTTTTCTGGTCCCGATAGTCATGCTACAGTGACCTAAAGCCACTGATTTTCTACACTGATTTTTTTGACTCTACAATTAACCATTTCACTTCTGTGGAAGCCCACACAGAATAGCAGTTTGGACCAGAAAGAATGTTTTTGTGTGGATGAATGCCAGCTTCCTGTTTTATAGGTGATGAATTATTGACATAGAAAATTTGGACCTATCTCCAGACATGACACTGGTTAATGACAGTCAGGGTTCTTACCCTACTCTCCTGATTGCCTGTTCTCACATTCAATTCCCTGTTCTGCTCAGGCCATGGATAAACACTCCATAGAGAGAAGGTAAACTCTAGTAGCCTGTTTCCATGTGATAACAGCTGGCTCTTGATGAAAAACAAATATTGACCATCTCTGGCATTGGTAATGTGAGGTGGTGCTCAAAATAATTTGTTTGTGTATGCTCCCTTGCTGGCTAAGGACTCGCTTCTGTGGGTGTCATTTCCTTGGAAGCTTTTCCAACATTGCCAAATGTCTTGTCAGCAATTCTTTGTCCAGCCCAGGAACAGTTCTGCTGAAGCTTTTTATTAAGGGCAGTTTTGAATATTTGCTAAAATTGATCCCTGTGTGACTATCATGCAGCTCAACAATAATCAAACCATGGCCAATCATGCTTCATCCACCTACTTCCCCATCTTGAATTACTTCGAAGAATATTCCAGGCACCATGGTATTTTGTCTACAAAGTTTTGATGTGTATCTCTAACATGTAAGGATACTTTGAGAAAAATCACAAAACTATGAAACGTATCTCTCTAAATTTTTTTTTGGAGACAGGGTCTTACTATGTAGCCCAGACTGGTCTTTAACTCACAGTGATCCTCCTGCCTCAGCCTCCTGAGTGGAGAGATCACAGGCATGCACCACCACATCTGGCTTACTAAAATTTTTAAAAATTAAAGTCAGTAATTCTTTAAAATCATCAAATATCAATTTAAGTTTTAAATTCAGAAGAATTTATTATGTCATTTTAAATGTTTGCATTAATTAAGAAACAAATAATCTTCCTGTTGACTGAAAAATTTCTTAGGTGTCCTTTAATCTATAGGTTCTCACTCAATTTCCCCATAATTTATTTGTTGAAGAAACTGGATCATTTGTCCTGAAGGGTTTCCCACAGCCAGGATTTCGTGTCTGCATCTATGGTGTCCTTTAGCCTGTTCCTTTCTCTCCTGTATTTCTTGAGAATTTATTTCATTTCAATTTTTTCTTTATGGTTTCTCCCTCAGTGAACTGTCTACCCAGAGCCTAGCATGGTAAATACTCAATAAATGGCTAAAGAAACAAATGAAGTTGGGAAGCTATTGTGAAGGACCTTAGTTAGCAAGACAGACTCCATATTGCTGCTTGACCCACCTGCCTGCCCTTTAGATGAACTCAGAAGAAGGAAGCTTAGAAACCTCCTCCCCTTAGAGAGTCTCTTAGAAGCAACAATTAATCAACTATTGTTTTACAAATGTTCTAACAGCAGGACGTTCCCCTTCTGTACCTTTTGCTTGCTTTGCTAGTTCTGTCCCATAGGGGGACCTATGGCCTCAACTGCTGGCCTCAAAGGTGTATAAAATATGTTAATCTCCCCCAGTCTGGGCTCAGTCCGAGTCCCATGCTCCGCTCGGGTCCCGGCTGGTAATAAACTCCTGTGTGGATTTAATATCGGTCTCTGGTTGGTTATCTCTCACGGGGTACAACAATTGATTCTTTCCTCATGTAGGAGCAGAAAGACTGTAGGGTCAGTCTATCCAGGACTAGATGTTGGCCTCAACCTTTATTCTTCGGAGGGATTTTGGACAAGTAGTTTAAATTGTCTTGAGCTCAGTTTCCTTATCTCAAAAATGAAAGCAATACTTGGCCTCCTCCTCATTGGGGTGATCTGGCTTAAACGAGAAAATACTCATAAAATGCTTAGCATAGTGCTTGGCAGTGAGTAAGTGCTCCATAAATATTAGCTATTATTAGGCAAGTCCTACTGGCTGGATATTCTATTTAGTCATGATAGGCTGTCAAGCTAAAGTAATAGAATTCATCACTGAATTTAAGGACTTAGTGAAACAAAGTTGTTGTTTGTTTTCTTTCTCATGTTACATGACCAGGGTAAGTTAGTAAATGCTAGACTCACACAGTCACTCAAGGATCAGAAGGCCCCCATCTGGGGCTCCTCCATTTTACTATGTGGCCTCTGCTATCCCAATAGAAGGAGAAAAACTGCAGGTCATACAATGCTTCTTCAATGCTTCTGGCTAGAAGTAGCACATATTGCTCCCTTTCACACCTGTTCCTCAGACCAAGGTCTACTATCTAGAATATATAAAGAACTAAAAAAAATCAGACCTCTCAAATTTAAAGACCCAATTCAAAAATGGGCATCTGAAATGAACAGACATGTCTCAGACAAAGAAAAAGCCTCAAATAAGCATATGAAAAAGTGTTCAACATCACTGGTCATTCGAGAGATGCAG